TCACTGGATTTTTAACGGAGGGACTAAATTAGGGTCAAAATGGTAAACAGTAAGGACCAAATCAGGGATTTTTTGAGTTGAGGGACTAAGTCAGAAGTCCATATGATAGTTGAGGGACCAAAATGGGGTTTAACCAATAAAAATCAAATCTCATTTATAGAGCATAATGATTGTACTTTCTGTCACGGGTCAAGAGGAACAATTTAATGGTGCTTATTTTTTTAAAAAAAATAAAATAATAAATTTGATCATCACAATCAAATCATATCTTTATACACACCTACTCTCACCTGGTAACGATGCATATCATTCAGTTTTATAAATTGAATTCAATTTTTTTTTTCAAAAATTGCCCCTTAATAAAAAAAAAAAAAAAACCATATCTTCATGCGTACCAAAACCATGTTTTCGTAGGAATCATTGCGTCTGTTTTTCACTAATTTAGTTTCACAAAACTGATCAGAGATCACAAACATCAAATGATATAGTGTAATTATAATTAATTATCTGTTAAAATAAATAAAAATTTTAAAATTTTAAAATAAAATTTTAAATTTATAAAAAATAAATAATACTTTTAAAATGAATATTAAAAAAAATTTTCCTTTTTAACATCCAGTACAATTTCATTATAGATTACCAACAACGTTTTAGTATTCCAAGTTTGCTCCCAAACAAGGTTTTTTTGTCTAATGATTTGATTTCAAGTTTTAAGTATTTGGGTAAAGTGATTAAATTTTTGACCTTTACCCTCGTCTTGATAACTTGAATTCCACAAAAAGCAACCCGATAGTCACACATCTTATTTGAGGGGTGAAATGTTCATCCAATCAAAAGATCAAATATTTAATTACTAACAATTAATTCATACTAAATTCTTAACCATTACTCTTATAAAAAAAAATTTACGCCCTGAAAAAAGTCTGTGCTTGCTTGGTGATATTTCCTTGAGCGGCCCCCAATAAAGATTAAATCTCATTTACAGGGAATCAATTATTGTACTTTTTGTCACGGGTCAAGAGAAACAAATTTAATAGTACCTATTTTTTTTAAAAAATAAAATAATAAATTTCGTCATCACAATCAAAACCATTTTTTCGTTCGTACCTTTTTTTTTTTATTATTAAGGGTAATTTTTGAGGTAAGAGGAAATGAACCCAATCTCATATATTAAGTGATGTATATCATTATGAAGTGATTTATAAAGTCAGATGTGTCATTTTTT